CTTCCTGCTGTGAAGATGGCATCAAGCTCAGTTTAAGGTACCTCAACTCCAGCTGTATTATTTACATTATTTCTGAATCCGAAGATACGTACCTTAAGCTGACATTCTGGGTCTAGTATAGACCTGGCCTTAGTTTACACTTGCAGCTTATGTCTGTATAACTATGTCACTCGGGAATTTCCACACCTCTGAGCAATGCAGTTATACTGACTAACTCCCAGTATAGATAATACTATGTCAACAGGAGGAGGATTACCTAGGTTGATGGGAGAAGCCTTCCCACTGAAATAGGCAACACAGCTGCAGCTTGTGAAGTACAGACTGACTCTTACTGAGTTTATACAATAATAAAGTAGGGACTTCAGACACGTCTAACAAGTACTTTCATGGAAACCAGACTATTACAACATCCCATTACTTTCCTTGCCCCATTTCCACTTGCAATTTAAATGTTGTGGTCTTCCAGTGATGAAGTCAACATCCAACCTTTCTTTGTTCTCTACGTATCATTTTGACTCTTTGAGATGGGAGGGGAATGGGAATTGTTTCCCTCAAGCAATTGTATTAGGTAACAAACTACAATGTTGTGAGATAGAAGAGAACTTTTCTTGCTGATAAGCACTTCCTGGTCTAGTTAATCTAAGGAATTATAGCTTGCCATGTTCATAAAGTTAATTTCATTTAGCCCATCAGAGAGCACTGAGCCAAAGGTCCATGATTTCTCATCACAACCTTTGCCTTGTCCTTCAGTTACTTTCAAAATCATATTTTTTCCTAAAGAGCTTTTTCTCCATGGTGTGAATGCCTGATCATTTAAGCAGCTACACACCCATTGCACACTTTCCTTTGCAACTTATGTCTTTGTAAGTACAGTAATTCACTTAGGATAAAGCATTAGTTATCATCATGTCTCCTGATTTGATATCTTTCCTACTGCCTTTATTCTTTCCAGTGCATTTTATTTGTTGTTATTTTTGCAAAACCTCGGTTCATTTTACAACTATGCAGTTTACAGTGTGTATTTTTAGGCTAAAAAGTGGTCTGACAAACAGGATGGCAACAGACCTATAGATTATCCACACTAGAGATTGTACTTTTAGAATATAGAGTGTACAAGATACAATTGCCTAAATGAAAGTGAAACTAACAAAATAACCAGCTGGTGAAACCTTATTTAACATATCAAAACAGTCATTTGTTATCCAGAAATCTTGCATTTGAGCAGTATTTTGAATTCTTGTCTTTTCTTTCTAGAAATATAAATCAGAAGGATTGTGATGTTCTAGGGACCCATTTTTAAACTAGCATTCTTTGTCATTTTCTTATTGTCCTCCTTAAGAGAATACTGGCTTTAAAAACATATAGATTCCTGAATTTGATACCTACCTGGGCTTAGACATCAAGGAAAAGTATTATTCCAACATATCATTCATTATTACTTTATCTTTCTAGTGCTTATCTGATTAAGTAGGGCTTCTGTGCTAATGCAAGCTGTAGCACTTGTATTTAGCAGACATCTATCTCAAGTTCCTTTTTTGCTATTATTACACAGCAGCTGAATAACACAACAGGTTAATTAAAAACAAGTAGTAGTCCTGTGGCAACTTAGAGACTTAACAAAAATGTATAGTATCATGAGCTTTCATGGGTAAAACCCATTTCATCAGATGGGTTTTACCCATGAAAGCTCATGAATCTATATATTTGTGTTAGTCTCTAAGGTACGCCTACACATCTGCGTAATTTTGGAATAACTAATGTTATTCCGAAATAACGAAGAGCACATCTACACTGCAAGCCATTATTTTAAAATAATGGTGAGCTGGAAGACTTCTTATTCCAACTCCTGTAACCCTCATTTTTCAAGGAGTAAGAGACGTCAAAGGAAGAGTGTTCTTCCTTCGACTTCCTGCTGTGTAGACAATGCTAAAAGCCGAATTAAGCTATTTCGACTTCAGCTGCACAATTGACATAGCTGAAGTTGTGTAGCTTAATTTGAAATTTCCCCTGCTGTGTAGGCTTACCTCATGGATGCCACAGGACTACTTGTTTTTAAAGTTACAGACTAACACGCCTACCATTACAGAACATAGTTTGTGCTACTTATACATGGATAAAAAAGGTCTTTGCTGTATGGTTTGATAATAAAGGAGGGAAAGTTTCTCCTTTGGAGCCCTTGCACCAAAATGAGAAGTATTGCACCAAAGAAAGGGAGACTTCCTAGGAAAAAGGAGGGTACTCTACAGAAGGGACTTTGGTTGACCCATGCCCAATACAGGAAAAGTGTGACGTTTCAACTATTGCGTCTTCTCTGCTTCTTTTGTAATTTAAATTCAGAATGCTTTTTTATTGGTGGGGTGCAGTTACTTGAGTCAGGGCTAAGTATGTTCATAAGCACCCTGAACAAATTCCACCGTTTTGTAGTTTGCCTCATCTTTTTAATTAATGTCTGGATGTAGGTAAGCAGCATCTCCAAACCTGTCTTTTTATTCCTCAGTGCAGATGTGTTGCAGGTGCAGATCCCTGAAGTTTTGATCTGAACTTCAGATTCAAAGGCTCAGAAAAAAACTCTGGAAAGTACTGAGTTTCCCATGAACTCTATCTGTAACAGTAACTTAGCCTAGAAAACTGGGCAGTAGGAGCTAGTCAGAATACAAGGGATGAACATTCTTAGTCAAATCAATGGAATCATTTCATGCTATCATAAGGGGCTCTGAGCACTACTTTGTGGGCCTAATCCTGCAAGCCTTAGTCATGTGAACATTCTTCTTGGCTTCTGTGCACCCCCACTCGCATTAAGAAGGCAAAGCTAGCCATATAGAGAACTACAACCCTAAATATCAATGTCACCTCCTCCCTTTAGTATGTCATGGGACTTGCCTGAACATCTTTTCCATCTCTATCAATTTTGGTTCCATATAGCTAACATGATCCATTGGCTGGAAATTGAAGCTAGACCAATTTCAAACTGGAAATAAGTTGTACATTTTTAGCCATAAGGGTAATCAGCCATTGGAACAATTTGCCAGGGAGAGTAGGGGTGAGAGTGGATTCTCTATCTCTAATAGCTTTTGAAATCAAGATTAATATTTTTCTGAAAGATCTGTTCTGTTAATTATTTGGGGGAAAATACTTTGGGTGGTGGTATTCAGCTGATCACAGTGATCCCTTCTGGCCTTGGAATATGTTTTCTTCCTTTCTTCTTTTGAATTATTTGAAACCATGTTAAATCTTCCCTGCACTGAAGTGGAACAGAATGTGAGGCATCCTCTTGTCTTCCCCAGAAGGGTAACAGTTCATCTCCACTTACTAGAAGATTGATGCTGTGGAGATTGATCTCCTGGGTGTCGATTTAGTAGTAGTAGAGATCTATTAAATTGACCACTGATTACACCCCCCGTTGACTGGTACTCGACCAGGTCTCCCGTTGATCTCCTGCAGTAGGAATGCTGTAGAAATTCGACCTGAGGTACATTGACACAGCTACTCTATTTACGTAGCAGGAGTTGCGTATCTTAGGTCAACTTTCTCCCCTAGTGGAAACCTGGCCTAAGAGGGGAAAAGTAGGTCTTTTCTCTCCCCTCTCCCCACTTTCAGTTAAATTCAAGGGTTGGGGGTGTTTGTCCGGACTCAATATCCTGGTAAATAGTAGTGGACAAATATTTCCTATTATATAACGCTTTGTTTTTACTCATTGCTCCATGATGGGCCCTGTTCCATTTTCATGTTCTCAATTGCTCCCCCACACTCTTTTCTAATTTTGTGAGTTGTAAACAGGGGCTCTTGAAGATAGACGTGTAAATAATCTTCAAACTATTGAGTAGCACCAGGTCCTTCCGGTTCTTTCCAAGATAATCTTCTATTGATCATTTACAAAGTGGAAAGCCCTGGATTGTTATTGTTTTAAATTTAAAAAACAAACAAACAGGGAAGGTGAGCACCGCAGATTTACTGGGATTCTGTAACCCGCTTTCCATTTTATAAGTGTGTTTTATTTAGTTTGCCTTGTGTATTTTTGCTTTCATATACTCAACAGTTTAGATCTGTACTAATTTTAACACCCTGAAAATAGATTGTGTGTGTGTGTGTGTGTGTGTGTGTGTGTGTGTGTGTGTGTGTGTGAGAGAGAGAGAGAGAGAGGGGGAACTAAGGCTAGTGTTGATCTGTCTGATTGTTTTAAGGTGGCTGTTGAGAGTTGCCACTTCAAAGAGTTGATTGCACTACAGAACCTTCAACTGGGCACTGTTAAATTAAGGCCTGTGTTTTGGGAACAGAGAAAGTTATATCTTTTCTACACTTAGACAGGCCCTTTACAATGGAGCCATCTGGTAATCTTGTTGTGACAACCACTACTGATCTTTTTTTGTATCCATTCAATTCCCCCTTCCTCATACTGCCCCTCCACAGTGGCCTGCTTCCTCTGCTTTTCAGCCATTTGACTTTTATTGTTCCTTTTTGTTTCAAGTAATAAAGGTTACATATGCTAATGACAACTCTGCATTGAACGGCAATGAACAGGCGGAGAGAAGACAGGGCATGTGGAAGTATGATTGGGAGACTGCAAATCCCACTTGGTTTGGAGTAATGTGTATGCTTTAATGAGAGTTGAGTTGGGGTGGGGGAGGTTTGAGCTTTTGGTCTGTGTAAGACTTTTTATTTTTGCACTAAGTATGACTGCACTGCATTGCACTACTGAAATGTATTTACATATGGTGGGATTGGAATGGTATGCAGGGGCCAAGTGAAGGAAAAGAGAAGGGGTAGGGACAGAGCATAGAGAGTAGCAAAACACTACATCTTTTCAGATCCATCTTCATCTGGCGGGATAACACTGGAGCTATCTTTACTCCAGGCAACTGGTCAGATACTGAGACAGCTCTGCTGAATGTCTTCTGTCCATCAGTTTATAGGAGAAAGAGCACTGCAGTTGAAACTAAATAGGCATCCTAGGACAAGTGGTTTCAGGGCGTTATAAATCTTCATTTTTCTGCTGAGTTTTCTGTGCGGACTGAAGGAGATCTCGGAGAACTGCTCAATATGACATTCTAGGCCCTGTTCTAGGCTTCAGCACAAAGTCACTAATCTCAAGTACAGATTCAAACATTGGACGTACTCCTAGACAAGCACTCGATTGCTCCGTATCCCTAGTTTGTATTCCTTTAGTCCAAGCAAGAACTCTCAGCCCAAAGGGTGAAACAGGCTACCAAAAGAAGGAAGGTCATTGAAATAGCACTTCTTTCAGAGGGCTGTTAAGGGAACAGTGCAATAAACAAGAATTATGAACATGTGTTTTAAGAAGTGCTGGTCAAGCCTGTGTGTCGGGGGAGGAATGCAATGTAACTGCCCAAATTTGCAATATTCTTGCTTATACAGAACATCCCCAGTAGCATTTATAAGTTCCTTTTGAGATTGATCAGTGTTCCAAGATTCTTTCATGTGCCCTTCACATGGATAGCTAAGCTTAATGGAGTCTTTTGGCAGGAAACAAACAGAATCCAGAGTTGAACTAGCCATGAAGTAGGTTGGTCTATACCTTGACTTGAACATGAATAATACAAAAGAACTGTTAGCAATATGGAGCCAGATTCACCCCTGCTATAACTGCATGTAGGCCACAACCTCACAATAGAGCACTGAATTGCTCAAGTGTAATAAAATTAAAGAGTGGTAGAGGGTAGAGATTAATCAAATTACTCCAACTATGGAAACACTGCCCTTTGTGAAGAAGACCAAGCCTTTGAGCGTACCTGCTCCAGTCCTGCTGTGCAGGAGTCAACTCTTGGCCCAAAAAAAGGTCAGGGAGTGAAGATTTTCAAAAGCTGAACAATGGGAGTTGAGTGCATAGTTGTGTCCCTATCTGTCCATTTACCCCCTTGAAAGCCTCCTCCTACTTCTCTACAAACTAGCAAGTTTCATAGCAGAAGTAAACATCTGGCTTCACAAGTACCTTGGTGTGAAGGAAACATTGGAACCCTGTAGTCAGAAAGAGGGTTACTTGAGAAAATTGTTAGACTATTGGGGAGGGCTGTTCTAGAGGGCAGGGAGAAAACATCTCTATCTGGGGAAGCAGTGTTTGGTTTGAGGAGAGTGTGTCTCTAGGGAGCCCTGAAGTACCAGTGACTGGTTAGTTTTAACCACCCCTTTTGGTAAAGTTTGGAAGAGAGTAAGTAGAGCTGTCTTCTGCTGTAGTAAAGCCAACTGCATGTGTTGCTAGTGGCAGTCCCATGACTATGTCAGGAAAGAATGAAGCTGAGGGTTGACTGAGGCTGCTGGGTCCAGAGTGCAGGGCCACCTCAGGTACCAGACTGTGGGGGGTCACCACTATGACCCAGAGAATTGAGACCTTTCAAAGTTTTGGCACAAGCGAGGAGGTATGGGGGCATCATTTGAGCTCCCCGCCTCAGGTGCCAAAATGTTGTGGGCCGGCCCTGCCAGAGTGCCTTTCCTAGTGGGGTAAAATAACAACCTTCTTTAATTTGAGCTCTTCTGGCTGATTGCTGCAAACTCCTTCTGTGAGATCTGACAGGATGATGGCCATCTTTTGCCGGGGGGGTAGGACACTGCGTGCCTGCACTGCTGTGATAAGATGACATTTTGCACTAGATTCTAACAATGCAAACTGAAGAATTAAAGGCCCTATCCCCACTGGGCTTTGAACCATGCTCAAAAAGGAGGTTGGAATTCAGGTTAAACTCGATTCCAGCCAAACTAGTTTCATCCAAAGTTTGGCTCATCCTTATAAATGAGGCCAGGTTAGTCTAATACTGCTTTTGAAAGCCTCACTTCTTTCACAGTGCCACTGTTCAACTAGATTCCCACCTTGTGCAAGTATGGTTGTTTCTTTTTAATGGTTTTGAAATAGGTTGTTCCCATTTATATGTTTAGCCAAGCCCTGTTTGAAACCAGTTTAACTCACCCTGAGTTTAAATACAAAACAAAATTTTCCAGCATGGTTCCAAAGCCCACTATAGCCTATGCTTGAATGAGACACTAAGGCTAATGTGAGGTTTATATTAAGAATCCTAGAGATGCCCCATAATTTAATGACCTGGGTTATCTCTAGATGGAGAAACATAATTTTTCCACAATCTTCCTCCACTTGTCATCGTGCTACTTTTCTCTTAAACCAAAATGGCACTGGGCAGTTGGTTAGATCCAAAACAGAACTGCGCCTTACTAAGTTAATCATTGGTGTGTTTGTATATCTTCTCTTTCCAATCATTGAGCAACACTATGTCTGTGTGCTATCCAGAACGGTGTGACATAGCAATGGGTCAAAAAGATATTAATGGTGTTTGCATTACAATGGCTCTACAAGCAGTAATTTGACACTAACTGTGACGAGGGCTGGGAGAAATGAAAATGACTTTTTAGCAGTATCAGAACAGAAAATGCCTAGAAAACATTACAGCCTATAGTAACAGTGATATAGCGAAGCTCATAGGGAACGTGTTTCTGGCAGCTGGTCATGTGTGAATACCTTAAAGGCTGTTTTCAAATCAGTAGAAAGGTTATGCATCCCTTTCCTTGCAAAAGTGAGAGATCACACTCAAAGGGTGACCTTGCACATTTCTCCAGACTAATCCTCCCCCAAGCGGAAGGCTGAGAAATCTCAGATGTTCACACTGTCTGGTGAAGTCTTACTTTGATGCAGAACTTCAACTGGTCATGTGTGAATACCTTAAAGGCTGTTTTCAAATCAGTAGAAAGGTTATGCATCCCTTTCCTTGCAAAAGTGAGAGATCACACTCAAAGGGTGACCTTGCACATTTCTCCAGACTAATCCTCCCCCAAGCGGAAGGCTGAGAAATCTCAGATGTTCACACTGTCTGGTGAAGTCTTACTTTGATGCAGAACTTCAAACTCATTCTCTCTCTCTTTCCCCGGCCCTGGGCCAGGTTCTGAAATGCCCTGATGTATTTTAAAGGCTACCAAGAACACCAAAATACTTACTTGGCCCCACTGACGTATCTTTGTTTCCCTCTCCCCCTCCACTCCGGCCCCCACCTTTTGTTTTTCCATCAAGGCAACAGAGTGTTTACTAATGAGTGGAGGACAGATACGTTTTTGGTCCAAATGACAGAAGCTACTATGCTGAGTTGGGCCTGATTGCTGAAGTCCTTGAGGACTACAGCACAATAGAGGCCAGGCTCAATTTGCTAGGAGGTTATATAAGCCTATATCCTCTCCTGCTTACTTCTCCCAATTGGTTTGCTCAGTCCCTGCTGGCAGCCAGGTTTTAAAAATGGAATCTAACTGTTCTGAGTTCTCTCTTCTGCACTGTGGCTGTTGCCAACCTCTCGTGATAAGTTGGTTTTGTTTTAATGTGTCGTTTTTCTTCAGACCAAAAAAAGAAAAAGAAAAGTCCACTTCTAATCATATAAGACCAGTTAGTGAATTAGGGGGGGGAAAGTGAGCAAGAAGCAATGGTTAATCATGTTAAGTTAGAAATCTATTTCTTAACCAGTTCTCATTAGTCACCCAGTACTGGGTTTGGATAGGTTTCCCTGCCCAGTCACGCTTGTATTCTATTTTTTTTATATATATATTTCTTTTGCGTTACTGCAGATGCACACAATGTTGTCTTTTACAATGCCTGATTTTTATTGTATTGTATTTTTAGCACTCTATTGGTTTCTTTTTGAAGGACAGGAATTTTTTTCCTTTTATTTTGAATTTGAGAAAAAAATGCACTGGAAGTAAAATTGAAAACATTTGACTGGTTCAAAAGGAAGTCATACTCACATAACGGAATAGGCTAAGGAAAAAAATCACCCTTTGTATTTTGGGATGTCCTCTAAAATATGTCCTTGTACGTAGAAACTAAAAAGCCCAAACAAAAGCCAAAAGCAGCAATGTTGGTCCCAGCAGTGCACCTGGGAGTGTTTGACACAGAGTTTCCCGGGTTGGGCAACAGTTGTGACATCCAGCCCCACATGAGCCAAATTCATTCCATCTGTAATTGCAATGAAGTGAGTTACACCAGAGGTAGATTTGACTATATATGTGCAATCTACCACAAGACTTCCCCATGGCACACTACTTCCTACAGCCATTGTTGTTATTAATGTCAAAATGGTCTTTTGGTCAGATGCCCTATTAGCATAACAGCCAGTGGAGGTTGCTCAGTGGAGAGTAGGCAAAACCCATTGCCTGCCAAACTTCAGTTGTAATTCACCCCATTGGTAAAAATTGATCTGATCAGACACTAATGCAGAGAGCCTGCCCTGTGCAGGAAATTTGATTTTGAGTACTCAAAACAGTAAATCTTTTCCATAGTCTGATCCAAACAAAGTCCCTCACTCCCTTGCACTTTCCAGGCATACAGGAAAGTCCTGTGTGTCTTCCAAAATGACCACAAAGTTCTTTGCAAATAAAAGAAATAGAATACCCTCCCCAGATCGTGTTCTCTTTATAGCTTGTTCAGCCCTGAGCAATATCCCTGCAGCATGGCTCCTGTCAGGTGAATGCTGTTGAGCTGATGTTCTGGTTGAAATAAACTACAAAGATGCAACATTTTTAATAAGGCAGATGATTTCCCCTCATGCCATAGTCTTTGGATTTCCCTATATCAGCTTATGATTTTTCCTAGCCTGCTGGCTCAAAGTCATATGTTGAAATGTTTGCTTTCTTCTATTTTGTTTTCAAAGGAGGGGATGTGGGTGGGGAGAAGGCAGAATCCACTGTTTGTCTCTTCACAGTCCTACCAGTTGGTTTGTATCTTCCATGTTTTATGCAAAAACATACATTTAAAATCAAATAACTGTGCCCTAGGCTGAAAGATAAATGTTTAGGAAAGGAAAAAAAAAGTCCGATTTTTTTCTCTACATTTTGAAGCTTTATTTGGAAAGGAAGGGTACATATTTTTGTTGTGTAATATTTTCTATTTTTGAATGCATTTTCTTGGTACAAGACTTTTGTGGATTTTTTTCTCGTGAAGACATTATTTAAAAAAAAAAGAAAAGAAAGAAAAAACTAATTGAAAAGTTTGCCCTTAAGGATATGCTGCAGTTCTGAGGTTTAAAAAAATCATGATGTGTTAAGTTGGGGGATTGTATTGTTGGGGGTTTTTTTGTAATTGTTACAAGAAGAAGTTTATATCCACTGCTGTTAAATATTGTTTCAGATGAGTAAGTAAAGGGATTGTTCTTATTTTTTTTAAGAAAGTTATTTATGAAATGTCACAAACACTGGACTGTGAGTTTGTGTGGAAGCGTTTTACCACCCTGTGTCTTCATAGAGCTGTTGGTGACCCTATTTTCCCTTCCTCTTGCCAAATGAGGTGAATTTGGGGGCAGATGGGTGACAGGGTAGAGCTGATGGCGGTGGGAGGTAGAAACAAACGAATCATCAACACAGAAGCTGGAAAAAGCAAAGGTCAAGTTGTATTGTGGCCTCCTCTTCCATATAGCAGTGTGAGGAGCAGGAGAGGTGCTTATAACATCTCAGCCTGGGGCTTAGAATGCATGGGGCTGAGTGAGAACAGCGGTGCTCATATCCATATCTGTAAATGACATCGTGGTTTCTCAGTTATCATGCCCCTACTCTTCTAAGCCTCAGCAAAGCTCACCAAGTAACAGCACCAAGATCTGTGTAACCTACCAACCCAGCTGAGCCTCTAGGCTTCTGTCACTTTGTTTCCAATTGCTTTCTGTAAACTGGGGCTCTAGGATGGGTTGTATTTTTGGTCACCAAAGTCCAGCTTCTTTGGCACTCCTGCCTTCCAGACCTAGCTATCTGTTAAGCAGGTGGGATAAAGGCTGTAGGTTGCCACATAACTTCTCCATGTTTCTAGCTTGGAAGGAAAAAAAAACAAAAAGAGGGCTAAAGTAAGAGTAAAAGCTGTGATCTAAAAGCTCAGTGGGTTAGAGGGAAGGGAAAGGAGAGCCACCAACAGCTGTAACAATCAACTGGAGATATGTAACTGGGCTACATTCCAGGCCAACCAGAATCTTTTCTATTCTGGACAATAACAGAGCCAAATCTTGAGATTGTCAAACAGACAAAGCTAAACCGTGGCCTTCAGTTCTCCTGCCT